GAGGGAAATTAATGGCAATGAGAATTTTACTGAAAAAAACTGTAAATTTAAACACTCACTGTAGTTTTTCAATCACACTTTGTATTTTGTACAGTCAATTCTCTTTCTGCTTAAGACAGCTTGATTTAGGTTCCTGTTATTAGATACCCAGAGAGTCCCAATGCAGTGATGAATACAGATGTTTACTCAGGCCTTGATGTCCTCTACTTCTGTACATGTTCCCTCTGCTAGTGTTCTAAGGACAGACGTCTTTTATTTCATCACTGCTTATTGTTAGCGTGACTATTTTGCTATTTCATAAAGCTAAGTGTTACAGTTCATTACCCTCTTTGTCCTTCCCCTGGTCTTCCTTCCCATTTTCCTTTTACTCTCTGTCCTTGAATGAAATGCTGACAAAGAAATACAAAATAACTGGGAATACAATTAATATATGCCTGGGTTTATGAACAGATAATGGTTTCATTAGCTCAGATTTTCCAGGACTTGTGATGCAAAGGGATAAGAAACAGGAAAGTTTAGGGCTGGGGATTTAGATCAGTGGTTCCGCCGCCCCGTGTTGTACAAACTCAAGGTCCTGAGTTTGATCCCTGGTACTGGGGGAGAAAAAAAAAAAAAGAAAAAAAAAGAAAGAAAGAAACAGGAAAGTCTAAAACAAAAGCATTATACAGATCCAGTGGAGCTACTCAGAGTTCCTCTGGAGTTCACCTGAGGGATAAAATAAGCTACTACTTGCTTAAAGGACCCTCGATGGCTCTACTGCCAACTGTTTCACATTTCCTCTCATTAAAAGTCCTACTCGTTGTCAATCCAGACACAGAAGGTTCTTTCAGATGTATGAGGTACAATAAAAATATGGTGAATGCTACTGCTGAGTGCCATCCAGTGGAAAGGCAGAGATCAGTTGACAGTAACAGTGTAACAAGTTTCAACTATAATTCCATTCAAAGCATTTTAACAACAGATGCAAATATCAGGTGAGTGACAGCAAAATTTGTTCCACGCTTTTTGACTGTCCACATTTGTTAATTTCATTGGAGATGAGCCATCATTTTAAGAAATGTCATCATGGGAGATGAGACTTGGTTCTGTGTTATAATTCTGAGACCAAGGTTCAAGATACTCAATGGAAATCATCCAGTAGTCATACGAAAAGAAGCATATTAATCAAGATCCAACATCAAGGTGATCGTGACTGTGTTTTTTGATCTGGGTGATATTGTGTGAGCTGAGTTTGTACCCAGAAACACTACGGTGAATTATGAATATTATATAAGGACTCATTAGAGCATCCAAGAAGTGACATGTGTAGAAAACAGTCCAAGAAATGGGCAGTGTCATCCTTCATCACAACAACCCTCTGTATCACATACATTGTTCACATCTGTATCACATCACCTCTGTATCACATCATTGGTTCAGCAGTTTCTGTCAAATAAAACCATCACGGTGTATCCTCATCCACCTAATTCACCAAATCAGGCACTGTGGAACTTCTGAGTCTTCCCCAAAGTTCATAAAATGTAAACATTTTTCATCAGTTTAGGACATTAAGGCAGCCACAACAGCATAACTAAAGACACTCATGAAAGAGGACTTCCAGAACTGCTACAGAAAATGGCAAAAATGATAGGACAAGTGTGTTAGAATTGAGGTGAGGGAGGTATTATGAGGTGTATTAATGACAAGGTGTCTTTTTCTGGGAGAATTTAAAAATTTAAACATTTGTCATGTATTTTAATCATACTTTGTACAGAAAACTCTTGCTGTTTTTTTTTTTAATAGCTTAAAGGGGTTGCCCCTCTAACTGGAAAAATCACAGACCTGGAATCTTCAGAGAGAAGCCCCTCCCTGCTGGCAGATCATGCACAGAAAGTAGGTGGAGAAGCTGGAATGCTCAGGAACCATGGAGGGGGTGCTGAAGGCAATTAACCAAGCCCTAAACCAGCTAGCTGACAACTGTGTCAACACAATCACAGTTTTATCCAAAAGCTAAACTAAAAATAACCATCACTTCACCACAGCAGGCCTGCCCCTGCCTGGCTCTGAGGTGCACAACAAAGATGAGAAACAGGCTGCTGCTGCATTTCCAACAATGGAAGGTGTGATGACGTCACCTGACGATCACCTCTGAAGACAACCACTTGCTGTGCTCAATTTATTCAGCTAACTCATTTTATCTCTTTTAGTAGCAATTTATTTGTGTCTCTTCAAAAGGCAATCAGGGTATGCTGTTGGCTTCTTTCTGATGCCTTTGGTAATTATGGTTCCTGGACATTTTATTTGTGTCCATAATACATCTGGTTCATGTTTTGCGGAGAAGGTAACTGTATACTCAACAGCAGATCTGATTCTTGAGGCCAAGAATCAGGTCTATCCATCTTCACCTCTCTAGAAACTAACAACTCCTCAAGACTTAAAAAGCTCTCAATACAATATTTGTTAGGTAAATGAATGAATGAAAAGCCGAACAAACAGCAAAAATCCAATCTTCCGAGGAAGATCTTCGAAAGCTTATTCAAGGACCTAAAGAGCGGTCTGAGTCTTTGAGGAGTGAGTGCTGTTAAGTGTTTGTAAGGTGGGAGGGTAGAGAGGCACAGGAGACAGAATGTTCCAGGCATTTGAGTCTCATCGGAGGAATTAAAAGGGTTTTTGTACAACCTGTGGGTGAGAGGAAAGGACTGAAGCCGATGAGGAGCCTTGCAGATTCTGCTAGTGAGTCTGAATTTTGCTGGGGAATCCCAATGCGATTTCCAGTGTGAGGAGAACACAGGGAGATCTCCTTTTGGGAAATTTTCTTTGACAGCAATAGGACAGGTCATTGATAGTAGAGATGGAGATGGGTTGAGATGAGATTGCAGAGATCAAGTAAAACACCAGATAGCCAGGAGTTCGGGTGAGAGGCAAGGGAGGTGGGACCTATGACTGAAAGGTCTTTCGGTTCTCCTCATCTTCCCGTTAGTTTTTATCATCCACCAAGATGTCATACCCTCTTTCAGGAATAGTGGCTGGGACTGCTGAGCAGTAGCAAAAGACGGCAACTAGCAGGGAGTTTTGTGAACTTTTGTCTTAACTGGGCCAGCTCAAAAGGTAAGGTGGACTGAACCCTCTTTCTCCCATAAAAGAAATGAACGTTCTTTTCTGAGACCATAATCCTTGGACCACTTCACTTCTCTTAGCAGTTTGTACGCCCACCCATCACTGTATTTTTTCAGCAAGATAATAAGGAAGAACCAAGAAAGGCGAAGATGCACGAGGTGGCAAGGAAATAAGGTGGGTGGTAAGGACTCTATGTATTCCATTCCCTAATAAAGAGGAATTAGTGTTGAAAGAAGAGTAGGAGTGGATTATATCTTACAGCCCTTTACCAGGAGTCAAATTTTACAGAGTGCGTCAGGGAGAAAGGGAAGCATGTCCTGGATATTGGCTTGGTTTCCTTATGGAAAAGTAGATAAACTCTTTCTCTGTAGGGCTTGCCTGATGGGGGCTAAAAGGATCAAACCCCATCCCTTAGGACAGTGGTTCTCAACCTGTGTTCTACATCAAAATTAACTGAACCTTCCCGATGCCTGGCCACACCCTGAGAGATTCTAACCGAATTGGTTGGGGCATGGTTTGGGAACTGGTCCTTTCATAGAACCCTCTGGGTGATGCAAACATCCAGATGGGGTGAGAGCCATTCCCAGAGATGAGGCACTAGAAAACTTTTTCTGTAAAGGAGCAAAGAGTAAATGCTTTAGGCTTTGGGGACTAGGTGATCTCTGATATAACTGCTCCGCTGTTGTAGTGTGAATGCAGCCATAAACAATATGTAGGTGAGAGTGTACAACTGTGTTTCAATAACACTTCCTGGACAAAAATAGGCTATGAACCAGGCATGATGGTTCATGCCTATAATCCTAGCATTTGAGGAAGCTGAAGCAGGAGGAAAGTCTGAACCCAGCCCAGGCAACTCAGTGACTTAGTGAAGCCTGTCTCAAGGGAAAAATTTTTAAAAAGCCTGGGGATATAGCTCATTGCAAAGGCCCTGGGTTCAATCCCCAGTATCCTCAATAAATAAATAAACAAAAATAAAAATTTAAAGAAATAGGCAATGGGCTGGATTTGGCTCATGTGTTATGGTTTATGAATTCTTGTATACTCTAAAGGATAGCAGGATGGGCCAGGTTGCTGAGTGAGGTATGGAGAAGGTAGGAAACATACTCTAGTTCTAAAAAAGCACTTGAAAGAATGTTCTAGTTTTATTTTTGTACAGTGAGACATATTTTTGAGCTCTATTTCATAAAATGCTTCTGGGAAAGTAAAGGGATGACTGACAAAGCATTGATCTTACCATCCTACATAGCCATCTATTCACAATGACACTGTGGGAACAACATCACTTTCAAAATCTGCCAACAAAGGGTTGGGATTTAAAATCTTGGTTCAATACATGTCAGCCTCAATTTATGGCCAAGCTGTCAGGCTACATCTGGGCAGCGAGAAAAAGAAGAAGTAGACTATTAACTTTCATTAAATCTCTATGTCGTTTGACTTCCTAGGGAGACCAAGTGTGACTTTTTGTATTTTGAGGGTAAAAAATTTAATTAGGTACAAAGAAGAAAGGAAAAAAATAATCTGCAGTAGTAACTAGAAGGGTTAGGCATGAAAGACAAAGAAACAACCTTGGAACCTGAACTTGGAGAAAAAAATGTTAGAACCCAACCAAGAGGAGAGTTTCTGCAAGGTCAGAGAGCTGGGCTGATAGACTGATAGGTCTCTTGTGTTCTTCCATTTTCTCACCTGGAATTTAGCCATTAAATTGTATCTTGCTTTGTTTTTGTTTTTAATCTGATATGGAAAACCAGGTTTAATTTATACCATCATTTCATGCTAGAGAAATCTAGAGAAAAAAAGAACATTTTTGCCTTTTGCTGTTTATTTCCTATGGCCACTAATCTCATGGATATATGGAAGAGTAGTCACATGACAGATGGCTACGAATCATGGTGCAGTGTCCTCACCTTTATCCTATCAATGTTGGCTTCCATCTTAAGCTGTTCTACCAGCTTCCTGGCTTGTGCTATGCTGGCGGTGTTGTTGCTGGCCATCGGAGCACTGGGTGGGTCTTTCAGGCACTCTAGAAAAGAAAACAAAGAGCAATACTGCATCAGAATTCATGAGCTGCCAAACGTGCAAGTTTGAAACAGTGATTGTAGGCAGACCCGGCTCCTCTCACCCTCTACCTGTGGTTAGCACCATGATTGACTACCAGGTAGAGCGGAAGATGAGGACTGATTTTCCAATTCTCTACCCTTCCCCCTCCTTTCTTCAGAGGGAAAAGAAAAGAAGAATATTCATCAAATTAGGTAGAACAAGATGCACTGCTACATTAAGCAAACAAGATGTTTAAAGTATTTTAATTTATCAAATAATTTCAAAATGGTGAGGGTGATGGTGTGCGTGGTTACAGTGGTGGCTGCCATGCTTATTGCTGTTACTGCTGTGCACTGACCTCGGAGGATGAAACAGGAAAGGAGAGCAGAGGGATGCATGGTAAATTCCAAGCTTCAGCACTCAAGACACTCTTTTAAATGTTCTCTCAATGGGCTTGAACCCCACCCTGCTGGTTAACTGGGACCCCTCAGCCTACTGTACCGCGGAGGTGCTGTGAGAGGAGCTTGGCTTTTCAGTGTTGCAGCACTGGAAATAGCTATTCCTCCCCATTCTATTTGAAATATGGCTTGATTCACAGCTACGCTTTACTCACCATTCTTCAGGAACACATCTGCAATGTGCGAGCATGGGGGGGCGGCCATGTGTAGTTGTTGGTACATCGATTAGCTTACTTGTTTTCCCAAATTAAGTACGAAAGACTGATGTATTTTATGAACATGGAAACGGAGCACACGTTTTGAGAGTGGACTTCTCTGTGCCTGTGTAAGATAATCATCAGGTTTCTTTGCTCTAACGGTGCCAAGACCACTGCCACTGGCGTGCCTCCCTCACCTTCCATGTCTTATTCCCACCTCTCTTCTCATCCTTTCTGGACACTTTGTCTCACTTTAATAGTGCTGTTCATCTTGGAAAGTGTCCTATTTCATCCCCCCACATTCTGGTTGGGTCTTGCTCCAGTCAAGTTGCCACAGGCAACGGCAGGGCCGCGTACCTGCCCCTTGAGGTGACTGACATACAATAGTGATGCAAAGTCTGAACACTTCAACTTAACTAGCACATGACCTGAGAAGTGAGAGACATTAAACTCGGCCTTAGTCAACACTAGCTGAATCTGGTACTGAAGACATTACATTAAATGCTATGACTTTTGCTGGCCTTGGGACATCTTTTATCTAGGGATAAAGCAGGATCAGGTTACCTATCTCAAAAAGGAAAGAGGACATATAGAAAACTCAGGGAAGAAAGAATAATCCATAATAAATTTTATACATAGTTTAAACCACCAAATTCCGGAAACAATTTTCTGTTGTAATTACCAAAAAAAAAAAAAAAAGCCTCTCTATACATTTTCTTTTTTTTATATAATTCTTCAAGACAAAAGGAGAAATTATGCACAATTTTCTGTGAACATACAAGCTTTTTCAGAGAGAGAGTTACGTTATAGTGAGTACTGCAAAATAAGCCAGCCAACAGCATTTGCAAGATAAACTGGAAGATAATTAACTGTTCCCTCAACTTATTTTCAAAGGGATTGGGAACAATAAAGCAAGAAAGGGAAGATGGAAGGGATTTTTGAAGTCACAGAGATCCCCAAAGTGTACTTTCATGCACTTGAAGGTCAAGGGAGGGAGAAATATATGTAAAAACCAAAAAATACAAAACTATGATTTCATCAGCATGATTAGGGACCCAATCATCTCAGCCCATAGGGAAATCATAGGCTCACAATTAAACAAACATCTAACAGCCTAGCAGAACTTCATAGGGCCAATATAGAGTGTTGACTTAATTTAGTAATCTAACTCTTCCATTCCTCCCAAGTTAGAGGCAGTTATGTTCTATAAGCCCCCGGACACCGTTCTGTGAAGACATTGTTTCTGTCAAACTAGAATTCAGTCATCACACTAGAATGCAGATAATCAGAGGATTAGCAAGTCCTGACTGAGCCTGAGGAAGATTTGGAGTTTGGCCAGCGAATTTTCTGCTGTGGAATCGAATCCAGACCATACAGTACTCTGTAGCAGAGACCACCATGTGCCTCCTAATACTCCATTTCACTTTTTCACGAGTAATGACCCTCCTCCCTCTCCTTAACAGTGATCACAAAAATCCTGAACCTTAGCTGGGTTCAGTTTTCCAAAAGATACATTCTGCAACTTCCTTTGCAGCTATAGTTTTCTGTGAGATACAAGCAGAAGCGTCCTTAAGGGAAGGAGTTATATCCCCTGTGTCCCCCCACTCCTTCTGCTGACCATCTTGAACACTCCTCTGTGAGCAGGAAGGACCTGAGTCCTCAGTGGTTATGCAGAGACATCATACCAGCTGTGGACTGGCACCTCTTAGGTGTGACCGAGAGATAAGTACCTATCTCAAACCTCTATTATTAAGAGTTTGTGCCACTGCCCAGTAGACCTACTATTAGCTGATTAAATGCCCCATTATTTTCATTTGAGCATCTAGGAAAATCTACATCCTAATGTCTTTTTGTGCTCCTTAAAAAAGCTGTGGGTATCCCGAGGAGAGACTGTGTTGGTTCTATTGCTGCTGTAACATATTTCTACAAATATAAGGGCTTAAACAGTAGGAGCTTCTCTTATAGCTCTGGAGATGAGAGGTCTGAAATGGGCTCACCAGGCTAAAACAGGTGAAAGAGGGCCTGGGCCTGTGCTCCTTTTGGAGATGGAGTGTCTGAGGGAGAATCTGGTTCCTGCCCTGTTCCAGCATCTCAAGGCTGACAGCATTCCATGGCTAACCCCTTCCTCCATGTTCAAGCTGACAAGATGAGTTAGTCTCTCTCTGACTTGGACTCCTCTTCAGCCCACCTCTTCTGCTTTGAGGAACACATCTAACTACACTGCACTCACCCACATAATCCCAGATAATCTCTCCCTTTCTCTTTAAATCACCTGATTAGCAGCCTTACCTGCTCTTGGATCTGTGTTCTCCTTTGCCGTGTAACTTAATGTATGTTTAGGTTCTGGAAGTTGGGATACAACCAACTTTTTTCCAACTATGGAAGGAGACTTCTGCATAAGGAGCAGGGTAGGGAGTGAGTTGAGATGTGGAAAGAAGACAGAAGGGAGAGGTGCCTAGAAATGCTGGAGACAGAACACATTTGAAGCCTAAATGGACTTACGAGAGAAGGTGAACATAGGCGTTGGCTTCTAGTTTTAGGCAGATACATCATGAGAGTTGTTTTACTGAACGACCCAGAAAGAGTCCTATGCCATTTTTAGAATCACTTAGTACAGGGGTCCACAATCCTTGGGTCACAGACCAGTAGCAGTTACTGGCCTGTGAGGAAGCAGGCCACACAGCAGGAGGTGGACATTAGGGGACTGAGTGAAGCTTCATCTGCTTTCACAGCTGCTCTCCATCATCACATCACCACCTGAACTTCGCTTCCTGTCAGATCAGCAGTGCCATTAGATTCTCAGAGAAGCATAAACCCTACTGTGAAATGTATCTGTGAGGGACCTAGGTTGCATGCTCCTTGTGAGTATCCCATGCCTGATGATCTGAGGTGGAGCTGAAGTGGTGATGCTAGCTCTTGGGAGTGGCTGCAAATACAGATTAACATTAGCAGAGAGGTTCAACTGCAGAGAGACTGTAATAAATCAATTGCTTGTAGACACGTATCAAACCCCACCAGTGAGTGTCAAGTGACACTTACGCTGCATCTGGTGGCAGGATTTATAGTGACAAATGAATGGATATACCTCAGTTGTAAAGCTGCGCTGGGCAGCAGCCTTTAAATCAGAACCTGACACTTATTTTAGTTTGCGTATGACCCACCTATTGTCTGATTTACCACTTCTACCTGTGCCTCTCTCCTGCACTGCACACTTGTCTGAATCACAGTTCTGGTAACCCTCAAGCTAACCCTAACTAAAGTGTAAAAATCAATGTCATGGAGAACTTCTTTGAAAACAGGGAAGAACCAACGATGAGAGAGCAGAAGACCCTAGGACTGCCAACAAAAAGAAAGCTGCATTTGAAAGAAAATACCCAGAGTCCTACTTGAATCACAGGTTCGTTGCAACAGGTGATTCACATTCTCCAAGCCTGCTTAGTATAACATGTGGTGATCAGCTATTCAGTGAAGCCATGAAACCTTTAAAACTGCTTCATCACATGTAAACCAAACATCCTACATTAAAAGACAAAAGTCTTTAGGGTTTTTCAAAAGTAAAAAACATGAACACGAAGAACAGAAGCAGTTATTGAAGGCCACCACTTCATCAAATGGGTCTGCACTCAGAGAGAGCATCATTTTTAGTAGCTGACCACATTGCAAAAGCTGAGAATCTCTTTACTCTCTTTCCTTGAAATTGAGACGTAGCTAGAAAACAATCAGCCCTGAAAACTAGAGATCAAAAATGCCAGCCCCAATCAGCCCATCCTTGCCTTACCTGTCATCACCACTCTCTTCCTTGGCTGCTACTCTGTAAGGCAGTGCATACACTGTTCTAAAAGGACCTCTCTACAGTATCACTGATGCTTTTTCTTTCATTTTTTATTGTAGTAAAGTGCACAGCATAAAATTTGCGACTTTAATCATTTTAAGCGTATCGTGGAGTGGTATTAAGCGTATTTATGTTGCTGTATAACCATCATCCATCTTCAGAACCCTTTTTATCTTGCAGATCAGATTCTATACCATTAAACATTTTGCCATTCTCCCCTCCCCATCGGCCCTTGACAGGCTCCATTCAACTTTGTGTCCCTGTGGTTTTGACTATTTGAAATGTCTCATATAAGTGGAATGCTACACTACTTTGGCTCTTTTTGTGCGTGACTGGCTTATTAGTGTGATATCTTCAAGCTCTACCCATGCTGAAGCTTATGTTGGACTATTCTTTCTTTGTAAGGTTGGGTAATATTCCATTGTATACATTTCTGTATACATACATATTCCACATACATATGTATGCATCGTATGCATTGTAGACTGCAAGTTTT